CTCCTTTGCCAGACAGAGTCAACAGCCGGTTAATTGTCCTAAAATACATTGTCTGGCCTGACAAACAAGCCCACTCTCTGCTGTCCCCCAACCCTCCTTGCATGTTAGTCTTGCTTCCATATCCAGATTGTGAAGGGCAGGACCTGCGTCTTCAGAATCCATTCCTGTTTCTTGAGCAATTACTTTGTGCTAAGCATTCTACTTTAATCCTTAAGGTGCTTATATCTTTGTTCCTTATCTGGAGAAATTGAGGCTGAGAGGTAAATTGACTTGCTCAAGGTCCCTGGGTAAGCAGCTGAGGTAAGATTTGATTCCCGGGCGTCTCTCTGTTAGGTCAAGGTTTTTTTCCACCAAAGTATCCAGCACAAGTTGGGCAACCAGAAGATGCTCAGGGGTCATTTTAATTATTCACTCCTTTATTTTTTTTTACGTTTATTTTTGAGAGCGAGAAAGAGAGAGCGAGCAAAAGCGGGGGCGTTACACTTGACTGACTGAGGCACCCAGGCACCCCCATTGTCTCTTTTAAAGTAGTAAAGCAAAGAGAACATCGAACAGGAGTCAGGAGACCCACAGGTTCAAAGTCTGTCACAAAAAGCTTTCTAAGTAGCCGTGGGCAGATCAATGCCCCTCTGTGGTCTTCGGCATCCCCATGATCATTGTACATAAGCGATGAATCACAGGAATCTACCCCCAAAACCAAGAGCACACTGTATACACTGTATGTTAGCCAAACGACAATAAATTATATTTAAAAAATAAAATAAAATAAAGAAATGGATTGGACTGGATGGTCCAGTAGCCTCCCTCAAGTCCTCATATTCAGCACTGGCAGGTTGAGAGGGCTGGTTAACATTCTGGACACTGAGGCCACTGCCTGTATGAGACCCAGCTCAACCGCTCAATAGTTGCGGGGTCTTGGGCAAGTCCGTATTCCTGTCTCCATCCCCTTGTGTGCAGAGTGACGATAACGAGCCTGCTCACCCCCTGCCTCACAGGCTGTTATCTATTAGACCCTCTCAAACACTGCTTGGTACAGAGTAGGCAGGAAAATTCCTATTCTTTAAAAAAAAAAAAAATTGATCCTACCTGCTACTGAATTCTTTCTATTAAACCGTGGAACCAGATCACATGAAAGTCTTGCGCGTTGCAAACAGGGTTTTCCATTATTCAGTTCCTGCTAGCCCCAGCCCACATTCACACATGCGGCCCCAGATAAGGCAACACTAGAGGTCACACATCTGACAGTTTCCTCCTAAGATCACTTGGATTACAACTTAAACAAAACCTAGGCGCTTAGGACAAAATGAGGCCCTTGGACCATCGATGTGCCCTAAATCCCATCGTTCAAGATAGCTTGAAATCTGGAGATCTGAGTCCTAAACAATGCCGCTCTGGGCTTCAGCTTCCCCAGGAGGAAACTGGGGGGTGGTCTAGTTGAACATTTATGAAGTCCCCTTTTATGGGCCAGGTACTGTGATAGGTTTTCCCACAGGTAAACCAGAAAATAGTGTACATTGACTGAGGGGCAAAGAACCCTTGCCCTCTCAGCCAGGTCATCGTGTGACAGGAGCCAGGCTGGCAGTGGAATGGCATGTCCTCTCTATCCCATTCTTTGGGATCTCCTCCTGAACGGGCAGGTGAGGAGGCTGGAGAGTTTGCTCTGTGACAGGAAAAATTCCCTTCCCTTCTCCGAACCCAGAGGCCTCTGGAGCAGCACTGCCCAATAGAACTTTCTGGGATGATGGAAGTATTCAATATCTGTGCTGTCCAATACAGTGACCACTAGCCACAGGTGCCTTTGAAGGGCTTGAAATGTGGCTAGTGCAATGGAGGAACTGAATTTTAAATTTTATTTAATTTTAATGAATTTAAATTGAAATAGTGCCTTGTGGCTAGTGGTTACCATATTGGACAGAGCAGCTTTACGACTACACAGCCTTTGGGCCTCTTCCTGGAGAGACGAGGAGGTAATTGAGACACAGGGAGACTAAGCAATTTGCTTTAAAGGCATCCGGCAACTCCATGGCAGGACTGAAATCAGAACCTAAGTTTTTTCTTATTCTAGGACCATTTTTTTCTGCATCACCACTGCGTACTTGGGGACTCCTGGCATGCTTTTCAATGGCTCCATGACTTCCTACGGGTTAAGTAGCCACCCCTGACTGCAATGCTCTTCTGCCCTACATCGGCTCTCTGCCTGGGAAACTCCTACCCATTCTTCAAGATCCAGTGCAAATGTCATGACCTTCTCTCCATCCCTAGCAGTCCCTTGGTCCCTCCCCATCTTCCTGCAGCATTCTGTCTACCTAGTTTCCAGAGCACTCATAGTGTGATTAGCTATTTATTTGTCTCCTCACTTGACTAGAATTCCCTAGAGGCACAGACAGTGTTTTATTCTTCTCCTCGTCTCCAGAATCCAGCACAGGAGACTGGTCAACAAACATGTGTGGAATCAACATACTGAATGGACTACAACCGGCAGCCTTCAAATGAAAACAGACCTTTCCCAGGAGATAAGGATGTAGGACTAGGAATAAGGATGCTTGGGTTCTTTTTTTCTTTTTAATTTTTTTTGTTGTGAATTTATTTTTGAGAGAGAGAGAAAGACAGAGTATGAGTTGGGGGAGGGGCAGAGAGAGAGGGAGACACAGAATCCGAAGCAGGCTCCAGGCTCTGAGCTGTCAGCACAGAGCCCGACGCGGGGCTCGAACTCGCGGACCGTGAGATCATGACCTGAGCCGAAGTCGGATGCTTAGCCGACGGAGCCTCCCAGGTGTCCCAGGATGCCTGGGTTCTGTTTGTGATGGGCTCAGTTGCTATGTGACCATGTGTAAACACTGCCCCCTCTCTGGGCCTGAGGTGGGTGGATCTGGTCATTTCTAAGGCAGGACACAGCCCCTTCTCAGAGTCTGAGGGTGAGCAGACCTGGAGGGGGTTTGCAGGAAGCCGTGTTTGGGGGTGGCTGCAGACTGGCAGGAGCAGCTGGAAATGAGGGCTGAGGTCACTGAGACTGAGGGGCTGCCAGGAGACGTCACCACATCAGCAGCCACTGCTAGACCACTGGGCTGGGAGAGTATGTGGGAGCCCCGGACACGGAGGAGGGAGGCCTGGGACGGGAGCAGAGGTTGGAACCATACAAACCAGAAAGAGGAGAAAGACGGAACAAAACTAAATACTGACTGTAGAAAATCAATTTCTGGTCAGCCTCCCATTCATTCATTCATTCATTCATTCATTCATTTCACACATTCACTCACTGTTTATTCACAGATTTCCTGAGTTCAGGGGCTCTTAGATCATTAGAGAGGTTGAGGCCCAAAGTCAGGAGATGACTGATTCCAGGTCACATGGGGAGTTACTGGCAGGTCTAGAACAAACAGCCCAAGCGCCTGCCTTCTCAGTTATGCCAAACCGCTGTGCAACTGACAGCCAGTTGTGCGCCTCGCTGGCTGGCCCAGCACCCCCTCTGCGCTGTCACCTCCTCGGCGGGGGACCTGGAGAGCCCAGCAGTCCTGCCAGGAACAGCGATCTCTTTCAGGTAGCAAAAGAGCACTAGGGTGATCCTCAGCCGTGTCAGAACCTGGCTCCTTGTGGAGTGGGTTGATTGGATGAGCCTCGGACTCGGAGAAGATGGTTCTGAATTCAAGTCTCTGGAGACTATCTTTTTTTTTTTTTTTTTTTTCTGGATGAATTTAGAAAGTCATTCATCTTTCAGAGTCTGTTTCCTCATCCATAAAATGGAGATAGATAATTATCCCTCACAGGATGATGTGGTGAGGTTTAGATGAGATGATATGTGTGATCATGCATAAAAGGCATCAGTAACTGTCTTGTGAATAAATAAGATGGGACGTAAAATAGCAGCCCTGTCAGTGGCCGGCTGGCCTGGCACTCAGAGCTAGGCCATGGCATTCTCCGAGCGAACATGAACGTCAACACTAGACAAGGTCGCAGTAACCGTGACACGGCAAGACAAAGATATACCACTCCACAATCACGCCTGAATACAGACAAAATCGTAAAAATGACCAACATCCTCCTCTCTCGGGAACACGAGTGATGAGGCGGCTTCTTTACCGATTATAGACTTAGTTCTCCATTCTTCCCTGTCTTAGATAAAAAGACACCTAATCACTGGATTGCCTCTGCCTTCCAACAGCACTCGGGGAGAGCCAAACTCCTGCTTGCAACCAGCCCCTGTCAGCACCCTCTGACCCACCCCAAGCTGCCACAAGGGGCTCCATGTCCTTCAAGCAGCAAGTAATACAAATCCAAATTTGCTTGACTACAGATGTGCTCCTAGTGGTCTTTTGCTATGGGGCATTAACAAAGATTTAAATAATGGGAGTCCAGCCCCCATGATAGAACAGCGGAGGAACACTCACACTCACACACACACACACACACACACACACACACACACACCATGTATGTATCTGCATATGCATATGCATATACATTAAATATATATTAGCTTTTTGTCTGAAGGATCTTTCCCTCAAATCATACAATATGGGTGACTTACTACTCTGTTTATAAGTGAAATTGGCCATTTGGTCTCACAAGGCTCTGGTAAAATTTGGAAAATAACCATCATAGGCAAGGAATGGAGACACGGGAGTCAATATTTATGGAAATTTTACCATGTGCCAGACTTCATCTCATTTAGTCCTTACAGCCATTCTGTGTGTGTGCGTGTTGGGGGGAGGGGGGGAAGGTACAGTATTGTTCCCTGCAGTTTACAGATCGGGAAACTGAGGCTTGCAGAAGCTCGGTAAATTTTTGGCCAGGATTTGAAGCCCATGCTCCTTACACCCAGCCAGTGAGCTCCTCTACCCTCCCAAGGAAAAAGGGATGAGCAGAGCTGGGCCCACTCTGTCCCCCTGTCTCTGCATGCCCTGGCAACCAGGCCCCCTAAATCTGACTTTTCTCAACCCAGAGACCCCACAGTCAGGCCTAATAATTAGTCTAAGTAAAGCATAATCCATTAGCGATCAGAAGCCCTTAGTGCATTCTCATTTTATTAGTGGGGAAACTGAGGCCCAGGGAAGTAAGTCCCCTCCCCTACCTGGGCTTCCTCTGGCGGTTGCCATAGGGACAATGCCACATGTCCCCTCCCAACTCAGTTTTCAGTGAGATCCCTTTGGTAGCTTGACATCATCGATGGTATGAGTATTTACACTGTGGATATTGGAAAATGCTATAAATCAGGGTTTTTGTTTGTTTGTTTTTATTCCTTCTGAAGAGAGCCAGTTAAGACATTTACTAGCACACCACCGGCTTCCTCCTTTCTATAAGGAAAAGGAATCGTAAATCTGAGTGGGGATCTGTTTGGGAACAGCTCCCATCAGACTGCAGGCGAACTGAACCTCAGCCTGGCATGGCTGTGATCTTATCACTAACATCCATATGCTTTGTGATTTATTTGTGTCAGAACGAACTGAGGGTCTTGATGAGAATGCTTCCTGGGCACCACTGAATCAGGCGCTCTGGAGGTAGGGCTCCAGAATCTGTGTTTCAACAGGTCTCCTCAGGTGACTTACTGGCTCCTGAGTTTGAGTACCACAGCTCCACATCCCCACTGCCATATCACATGATGCCTCAGACACAGAGGGCAGAGTTTACGCCCACAAAAATATGCAGTTCAGCCTCTGTACTTGAATGCTCACCATGTGCTAGCTGAGGGCGCGCAAAGATAGTCCCAGGTCTTCTTCCGGCTTCCCTGTCTCTGAGGCGATGTAGACAGTGCATGGGTGCATTGACACTGGAATCGGGCAGAACTCCAGCCACGTCACCTCCCGGAGACTTCCACGTAAGTTTGCTGGGAAGTTCCAGTAGAATCTATTAATACATGGAAAATGTACAGCTAATTGTTAATCATCCCAACGATTTGAAGCACAAGAATTGAGTTACAGTCCTGGATATGGTCTCCACTAGATGTGTGATCTAAGGCAAGTCCCTTCACCTCTCTGATGTACGGCATCTTTCCTAGAGGTTTGTAAGACTCAAAGGAAATAACACTGGGAAAATGGACTCGTTTAAATAATGCTAGATACACATTTATTTCCTTAGCTCCCTCACCTTTGCAGGTGTGCTTGGGACTGTCTCCGTCACCAGCCTTTGAGCACCTCAGAGCGAGCCCTGGGCTCACCCATCTGTCTGTGTCCCACACATAATAAGTATTTCCCACAGGTCTGTGACTGAATATGAAGGTATGACCTACAGATTGATATAGACAGATAAAGCCTCTCTCACACAGATGCACATCGACACTGGTATACAATTATTCATAAAGAGGTGACATGGAATTATAAACAGATCACAGGGCTTGAGGTCAGGAGTTTCGAGTACTAGGGTGGGAAACTGTATCTACCACTGCATAATAAATTATCACAAATTTAGGGGCTTAAAACAATACATATTTACGATCTCACAGATCCTGTAGAGCAGGAATCCGACTGTAGCTTAGTTGAGCCCTCTACCTAGGGTCTCACAAATCTGCAGTCAAGGAGTTATCCAGGGCTGCCATTTCATCTGAGGCTCAACTGGGGAAGGATCTGTTTCCTCACTCACTCATTCATTAACAGAATTCAGTTCCCTGCAGCTGTAACACCGAGAGCTTCACCTTCTTGCTATCAGTCAAAGGCTGCCCTCAGCAACTGGACTTGCTGGCAGTTCCTTGCCATGTGGGCCTCCCAACATAGGCATCCCACAAGACAGCGGCTTGTTTCTTCAAAGCCAGCCGGGGACTTAGAAGAGACAGACTCCAGTGAGATGGGTGCTACAGTTTTTAAGTCATGTAACCGTGTAGCCACTCGTGATAATGTATATTCCATCCTTGCCATCACCTTTGCTATATTCTTTCAGTTAGAAGCAAGTCCCAGACCCTGCCCACACTCAGGCGGGGGGAATTACACAAAGCCGTGAATGCCAGCAGGTCCCTCCGCCACAGGAATTCAGATGAACCTTATGAAGGATCTTCCTTGTAAAGCTGGCAGACAGTAGAAGTCTGAGAAACCTTCTAACCATTTCACTTTCCAAAGGAGAGAATGGAAGCCCAGAGAGACTGAGTCACCATTAAGTACACAGCAGAATCAGACTGGAATCTAGACCCCCTGACTGCCAATGTCCACTATACTGCTTCTCTCCCTGCTTATCGTCAGGACTCTGGGGCCAACAGACAAAAATTTATGATGCTTTGAAGATGTAGCTCAGTGGACATTGGAATGTCATGGAACACCTACAGAATAAATCCAAATTCTTAGCATGACATTCAAGATCTTTGGACTACCTGGCCCCACAAAGCTTTCTCATCTCACCTTTTACTATCCCCCCTGGTATGTTCCATCACAGAACTATTTGCAGCTTTTCCACACAGAATGCCATTCTCTTTCTATGCCTAGAAAACAAACAAACAAACAAACAAACAAACAATGAATAAGTAAACCTAGAGTCCCAGCTCAAATGCCACCTTCTCTGTGAAACCCTCCTCAATTCTTGTAGGCAGAATTAACCACTCCCTCCAATCTGCTCTCTTAGGATTTTGTTCAGGCTCCTGTGCACCCCTTTGCATAGGTATGAAAGTTGCTTTGAGTTCTATTTTCTCCTGTGAAACTAGGATCATAGAGAAGGGTGATTAGAAAGATGTGAAACAAATGTGGTTAAACGAATCTATCCTGCCAGCTGGCCTTGTCAAGAGACCACCACAGCCTGTCCTGCCGAAACACCACCAAGGCTAATGAGAGTATTTATTTCAAAGTAGATGTCTCCAGAAGCTCACTGCAAGTCAAGAAAAGGCTAGCTAGATCCCCACCCAATTACATTTTCCTCGGTAGTTCTCTTAGCCCTGTGCTCTGATGGATAAAGCTTTACTGATTGATTGAACAGAATTGGGCAGAATTCAACAGTTGTACTTGATGTATACCAAAGGCTAGCCTATTGTAAGAGTTCAGGTTACAGAGACAAATAAGACAAGAAGAGGGCATGGAAAATCTAAAGCACATGGGCTTTAGAATCAAAAAAGTTTGATTCATCTCAGTTCTATGACCTGGAGCAAGTAATTTAACTTCTCTGACCTTAGTTTCCACAGCTAAACAGGGGATAACAATGTATACTTCCTAAACAGTGCTGTGTGGATTACATGAAAGGATACATATGCCTGGCACATGGCCGGTGCAGTGCCCCTGACCCATCCACAGGGAATCACTAGCTACACGGCAATGCTTCTCATCGGCTATGATGAACACTGATAGGAAGTGCTGGGAGAGCAGAGTGAATTGAGCGACTCATTCTACTGTGCAGAAAAGGAGGGAGGGGCACCTGGGTGGCTCACTGGCTTAAGCTTCCCGCTCTTGATTCCGGCTCAGGTCATGGTCTCACAGTTGGTGAGATTGAGCCTGTGTGGGGCTCTGTGCTGTCAGCACACAGCTCGCATGGGATTCTCCCTCTCCCTCTCTCTCTCTCTGCCCCTCCAACTCGTGCATGCTCTCTCTCTCTCTCTCTCTCTCTCTCTCTCTCAGAATAAATAAATAAACTTAAAAAAAAAAAAAAAAAAGGAGGAAGAGGCTTCAAACAGGATGAGCAGGAATGACCAGGAGGACATTCCAGGCAAAAGGCACAGCGAGCACAGAAGCAGACTGTCCTAATACCCAGTCTTGGTTTTGTCTGCTTCCAGATTAGGCAGCCTCTAGACCCTGAAGTTAACAGAGAGGTAAGACAGCATCTTCCTTCTGTGACAGATGACTGACATTTTTATTTCTTTGCCATACCGGGGAAAGTGCCTTCTCTCTCAACCAGAAATATGAGATAATCCAATTTGCAGCTAACTTAATGCTGAGAATTGAAATGCACTGAATTCTAAAGTTCTGATTCTAAGAAGAATGTCAAATGAGGCTCACTCCCAGTGCCTGCGATACAATTTTAAAATATATTTTACGGACTGTGATGCCATTAAATTGAGACATATTAGAACCTGTGTGTGATCGAGTTGCTGTGGGAATGCTTAGAACCTTCCAACATTTTACATCCATAATTGCATGACCTTAATCTCTTACACCCCCAGAATTGTAGAATGTTAGCTATGGAAGACCCCACTGAAGTTCGACCTCCACATCTTCCTGATGGAGAAACCTGGGCCAAGACATGGGGAATGAAACTGCCTCAGACCATACAGCAAAATCCTTAATTTCTGACACTGGAATGTAGGCCTCTCATCATTAAGCCCAGAGCTCTTTCTCCTGCATGATGGTTACCTACTCCAGAGGGGCTGTTAAAAGTTTAGGGTGGGTCTTTTCAAGTTGTGTATTTCAGTATGTTTTGAAAAGGTTTCATTTCCTTTGGGTCCAATTGGCTGTTTTTAACAAGGTCGATACTAAAAAGGTTTTATCATACCTCAGGCTCTTGACCATATCCTTAGTACTTAGGTCCTGAAGGTGAGAGAATCTTAAAGTAGAAAGGGATTTTAGAGGTTTATCTTGTCTCCCCTTCCACCAGAGAAATAGCCTTCTTGAGCACTTCCTGTAGTATGTTCAGTTCTCCCAAGGAAATTTATCCTGTCGTGTGGCCAGGACTCCATGTTTCAGCGAGAACTCTGTTTCTCTGTCTACTCTTCCCAGAAGAGAAAGAGAAGGAAGGAGAGGGTGCTTACTTACTAAGCACTGTTTGGGTACCAGGCATATGTATGGGGGGCTTAAATATATCACCTCATTTAGTTCTTAAAACATCTCTGTAAAGTAGATGTGATCATCCCAATACATGAATGGGGAAAAAAAAAACAACTCAGTGAGTTTAAATAATGTGCTCAAGTTCATCCACAGTAAGTGGAAGAGCCAAGCCCATATGTAACTCTTTGGAATGTCCCGTCTCCCCTGCCTTCTGTCTCTCTTCCATAAAGCCTTTCAGCACGCCACACTACAACATCCTTTCATAAAAAACAAAAAAAACAAAAAAAACAAAAACAACAACAACAACAACAAAAAACCCTGCTTAAATGCCTTTGATGGCTCTTCAATACCCACTCGAGGTAAATCGTCCGAGCTCTTTAGCTTACCATCCAAGGCCCTTGACGATCTGGCTCCAGCTGGACTTTGCAGGCTCGCTTCCCTCCACTCGGCCAGCACATCCAAGGTTTTCCTTGAGGATGCCTTTCTGCCTGCACATGTCGTGCTCGCTGCCTGCCTGCCCTTCCCTTCTTCCTCTGCCTAAAGCTCCACTCAGCTGTCCCCTCCCTGGTGAGGCCTTCCAGGCTCTCTGCAGCATTATTCTTCTCCGCTTTCCCCCAGCACGGCATACACACCCCTTTCACACCATTCTGGTCCTGCAGGGGCGGGGACTGTATTTTACTTTGCTTTGCATTCTCTGCTCTTGACATGTGATGGTAAATACTACAGATATTCATGGAACCGAACTGAGGCTTAATCCTTTCCCGGATGTGAGTCCTTCAGTTACTTGATGACCTCTCTAAAGCCTGCCCATGCCATTTTTTTCCTAGTTATTTCTTCTCCAGGCCAAACATTTCCAGCTCCTCCAGCTGTTTCTTATAAAGTCTGATTTCCAGATTCTTATCATAGTGGTCATTTGCTTCTGGGTGACAATGTCAACATCCCTGTTTTAAAATGTGATGCCTATGGGGCACCTGGGTAGTTCAGTCGATTAAGCATCTGACTTCAGCTCAGGTCATGATCTCACAGTATGTGGTTCGAGCCCTACATGGGGCTCTGTGCTGACAGCTCAGAGCCTGGAGCCTGCTTCGGGTTCTGTGTCCCCTCTCTCTCTCTGCTCCTCATGTTCTGTCTCTCTGTCTCTCAAGAATGAATAAACATTAAAAAAAATTTTTTTTTTTTTAAATGTGATGCCTAGGACAAAACTTAGAAGCCTGGATGAAGTCTGGTTACAGCAGAACAAGGTAAGAGGATTCCACCCTCTGATTTAGATGTAACATTTCTTTAACCATTACTGTGTGCCAGGAACCTCTCCCTAGTTTATTTTCTTGCACTCCTGCAATGATGTGACAAGGTGAGTGCTATTTTTCGTGTCTTATAGATGAGGATACTAGCCGTCTGGTAAGGTACTTTGAAAGCACATTAACTTAAAGTCACAAGCCCAGAGCACAAAGTGAGCTTGTGGCCAACTGATACCTTTAGCTCATTTTTATGTCTACTGTGGGCAAGTTTTTTGTTTTTGTTTTTGTTTTTTCTAGTTGTAACCAGCTAGTAACAGGCTTAAGAGCAACTGAGGACAGAAAGAACCAGTACCTCTAGAAGGCCGTGGAATCACAGCACAGAGAAAAGACAGGTTGGATTAATGACCAACTTCCTAACAATAACAGCCTTTATCTAGGAGCTCAGACAGAGCCTGGAATTTCTCTGCACGTAACTTCCTGGAACCATTTTTATTTGGTATTTAACGGAAGGAAAAAGAGAAGAAGTGTCTTACTAAACAGTGAGATTTGGGTTCAGCACTCCTCTGCAAAGCCCTGAGACCACCAGAATCGGAGCGGCCAGCCTGGTTGGGGCCCTGTGAGTTACAGAGGAGGCAGTAAGGAGGCTGGTCTACGGCCTGGGCCTGTGAGGACCCCACTGCACACATCATTCCATAAATGTCTACTGAGAATTCCTGTGTTCCAGGTATGGTGAGGGGCTGGGCACGAAATGAAGAATGCAGAGTCAGTTCCAACCTTCTGGAGCTTATCATCAGGGAAGACAGGCACAGAAGCAGATGTGCACACGAGGTGGTAAGTATAACGAGGAAAGGATGTGCCCAGGCCACAAGGGGAGCACAAGGAGGGACATTTAACCTGTCCTGGGTGAGGGTGGAAGACAAGGGATCAGGGAAACTGTGGCTTAACTGATGAGCAGGAGTTAACCTGGTGAGGCAGGAGGAGGAGTCAGAAGAAGTTCCAGGCGTGAGCAGAGGCAGATGCATAAAGTTCCCATAAAGTGGAAAAAATTACAAGTAGTTTCGTGTTTAATTACACTTCAAGAGGCTGGGGAGTATCCGGGATTATTAGGTGTATGTTGTGTGTTAGACACTGCAATAAAACACTCACATACCAAACACATTATTTCAGATCATTAACTCACTGTGTGACCTTGAGTGAGTGAATGCCCTTCTCTGGGCCTCACTAGTAAAATGAAGACTAGATGAATTCCAAGGTGCCATCTCATCTCGGGTCTGGCATGACCTGAGGGGCAGGCATTCTAATCTATGGTCTGTCTGCCATGTTTACAGAAACGCTAGTCGGGTTAATGGAGCACAATGGCCCGGCTTTCCCAAGCTACAGGCAGCGTATTCAGCAGGAAGTAAATTCTGTTCGTCTTGAAAATGTTTACCAAGCATCTAATGTGTGCAGGATTCAGAAAAGACAAAGATTAAACTTGCTGTCTGGCAGGGTGGGCTACGATAAATGCCATTGGCAAGGGTCAGATGGTGAGCTGTAGGGAGCTCAGGGTTGGGAGAGATCAGAGCCAGCTTGGCTTCCTGGAGGAGAAGGCATTTGTGATGGGCCCAGGGTGCACAGATTGTCAGGGAAGAGGCTGAGCAGAGGCATTCCAGGCAAGGGAAGCAGCAAGAGCCTGACAAGCCAATCAACAACAGTACTTCCGCATCCCCCACCAACTGCCCCACTCCCCCCTGCACGTCCTCTGCTCACCCCACCCTACCCACTCTCAGGATTCTTAACTGACAGTTGAGACTCTCCAGAACAAAGCCTCCTTCTCTCTGTCCAGCTCACTGACCCATGTTGCTCCTACGTAAACCTCTGCTCCAGCCACACAAAGCTACCTGCCATTTCTTAAATGCTCCCTCAGTTTTCTGTCCCTATCTCACTCTGCATTTCCAGACAAAGCCCCCTTCCCCAATACTCTCTCCTCTGCCTCTCACTTTCCTACCCATCATTCAAGGTCCACCTAGAATACCACCTCCTCTATAAATCTGCAAGTCTGTAAATCTACAAAGCCTCCCTGAATCTCTTCCAAACACTGCAACATTTTGACTGCATTTCCCTCCTGGCACTGAGCCCTTCCTGCCTTGTACTGTAATACCTTTCCTTGTGAACCGTAAGCTCTGTGAGGGGAATGCCATGCCATGTGGGTGTCTCTCCCAAGGGTCTTGCACAGGGGCACTCAGGGACAGACCAGATGGGCAGCTCCCCGGCACACGCACAGGCCGTGAGCAAAGTGGTCAGAGGGAGAGGTTAAACAAACCTGCGCTTTGACCGGCATTTAAGGGGACCCGGAGTTCTGTCACCATTGGCTATCCAGCCAGCATCATTGCCCTAGACTTAGGTGAGGCATGGAGCTCGCCAACAGCCCCCGCAGCTCGCTCTATTATCCAGTCCTCGTAATTGCTTCCAGGACGTTCAGGGCTCCTGGTGAGTCTGATCAGAAAATTTCCAACCATTCTTCTGATGCCAAACTTAGTATGCAGATGAAATCTGTGTGAAGTGCCCATTTAATGATCTTAGGCGGCCTCGAAGCCGAAAAGGAGTCACAAAGGGCCAACAACCAAAAGAAGGTTTGAAAGGGAAAACATCCACATCGAGAAGGAGACGAAGAGTCTGACGCGTCTCAGTACCCCCCACCCCAGCCCACCCCCACTTTCTTTAAGCACCAGAAGCCATCTCTTCCCTTTCCTTCACCAACTCTCCCTTGGGGCCGCTGTCCTCCCAACAGTGAAAATAAAATGTCAGACTGTGAAAGTAGACAACTGTTCCCTTGATTGTCAGTCCTGAAACAAGCATTCTTTCCTGCGGTCCCTTATGGAGGGCTCTGCCAGGTTCATTCCTTAATGTAATATATAAAACAGCAGGCTTGGGGTTTGCTAGCATTCCTTCTTAAAAAAAATTTTTTTTTTTTTTTGCCGATTTTCTTCCCTCTCTGTTACTGCTGCACCTTTGGCCTTCTGCCCCTGTGAGACCTTTTCCAAGGGTGTCCTCACAGCCCAAACCTACTGTCCATCTGCCTCTTGGTTTGAAAACTCCTTAGATCTCCTTTTTTGAAATTCCAACTTGAAACAATGAAACCTGTGATGCGCTGTGCCCTGGGGCACTGAGTGGAATAAACGGGAAGTGTTCCCCTAAGGTGCTACAATGTGATATACTTCATACAGAGATATTCAGCAAGTGCCAGCACAGAGGAGGCAGCAAACTTTCCTTCCTGGAAAGTTTCAGAGAAGTTTTGACCTGGAGATAAATAGAAGCAGGAATCCAAGAGATGATAGGTGCCCTTTTTTTTTTTTTTTATTTTCTTGACAAACATGCAGGGAGAGCTCCCTCCGAAGAAGTCTTGTCTGGGACATTGGAGCTACAGGTGTGAATAAGGTTCCTAATCCCAAGAAACTTTCAGCCTAGAAAAGGAATTTCGAAATGTACCCTAATAACGGCAAGACCACCACGTATCATGCCATGGAGTTACGGAACAAACCGTCAGCGGAGTTCACAGAGACTGTTTAAGAGAACGTTTCTCCCTGGATGGAGCACGCAGAATTCTAAGATGGCCCCCAAGACTCCCAGCCCCTGGTCCATGCATCCTGCATAATCAGAGACAGAGCATCTGATAAATCTTACTCCTGAGGTTAGGTTTATGTAATGTGGCACGGTTGCCCTCGGTTAGGGAGGCTACCTGGGCTGGCCTGACCTAATGACAAGTTTTGTAAAAGCTCAGAGTTTTCTCTGACTGTTGAAGAATCAGAGAGATTGAAAGAGTGAGCAGGATTCAATGTGAAAGAGATTCTCTGTTGATGAGACGGAAGGGGGGCCATGTGGCAAGGACCTGAAAACAGTCCCCAGTTGACAGCCAGCAAGGCAATGGGGACCTCAGTCCTACAACCATAGAGAAAGGAATTCTGTCAAGGAGCTGAAGGCGCTTGTGGCACACACTTCCTTAGTCAAGCCTCCACATAACAAGGTAACCGGCCAACGCTTTGACTTTAGCCATCCGGTACTCTGAGCAGAGAACCCG